CATTTTATTAGCATTATTTCATATATTGTACATAGTAGATTTGCTCAGGTTAAAAGATCATCCTAAAGCTGAGAATCCTTCAACTTTGGGATAAGGCAAAAGCTAATAAGAACAGAGCACAGTTGTGGTTTACAGGTTTTCCTGTGGTGTGAATTCACTTTTATGTGGTTTATCATTTGGCTAAGAATTTGCTTTCTGTGAAAAAAATTATGGAAACATGGTTAACTTGCACCAGAGATCTGGAAACACACCAAAACGTCTTCCCACCAAAAGCAACTGAAGATTTTCCCAACAAAACAAAAGATGCTAAAAAGTAAATGGAGACAGCACACACAAATAGAATCATAACTATGCAAAAGAGACAATCAACCAGCCCAAAAGGAAAAAAGACTCCAAGACCTCCCCACCAGTAATCAGCAGTCAGATCAGCATAGATTAACTCCAAGGTCATCTTCAGACCAACAATCAAGTAAGCAATACCCCAATGAAGAAATTGCCAAAGAAACATTAGCAAAAATATAAATCACTGGGACCTGACAGATTACATCCCATAGTTCTGAAGGAGCTGGCAGATGTTATCTCAGAACCATTGTACCACATCTTTCATAAATCCTGGCACACCGGGGAAGTACCTGAGGATTGGAAAAGGGCTGATGTGGTTCCCATCTTCAAGAAAGGGAAAAAAAAACAGACCGAGGAAACTACAGACTAATCAGTCTAATATCAATACCTGGGAAGATCCCGGAAAAGATAACAACAACAACAAAAAAAAAAACAGATCTGCAAACAATTAGAAGCAAACAAAATTATAATTGGTAGCCAGCATGGGTTTGTTAAAAACAGATCATGCCAAACTAATCTTATTTCATTCTTTGATAAAGTGACTAAATTACTAGACCAGTGAAATGCTGTGGACATAATATATTTAGATTTCAGTAAGGCATTCGATAGACCACAATCTACTGCTTGGTAAGCTAGAAAAAGGTAGGATAGACAACATCACCACCAGATGAATTTGTAGCTGGCTGACAAACGGTAGTCAATGAGTAGTCCTCAATGGTACTACATCCACATGGAGAGGAGTAAGGAGTGAGGTACCACAAAGCTCCGTCTTAGGCCAAGTACTCTTCAATATCTTTATTAATGACTTAGATGAGGGAATAGAAGGGGGACTCATCAAATTTGCAGATGACACCAAACTGGCAGGAGTAGCCAACAGCCCAGAAGACAAACTCAGGATCCAAAAAGATCTTGACAAACTTGAACAATGGGCTCTATCCAACAAAATAAGTTTTAATGTGGGGAAAAAAGCAAAGTTTTACATTTAGGCAGGAAAAATCAAAGATATAAGTACAGATTAGGTGAGACCTGGCTCAAAAACAGTAACTGTGAGAGGGACCTTGGAGTCCTAATGGACGATCACTTGAATATGAGCCAGCAGTGTGCAGCAGCAGCCAAAAAAGCTAATACAATCCTGGATTGTATAAACAGAGGCATAGAATCAAGATCATGCAAAGTATTAGTACCGCTTTATAAAACCCTAGTAAGACCACACATGGAATACTGCAACCAATTTTGGTTACCATACTACAAAAAAAATGTTGAGACCTTGGAAAAAGTTCAGAGAAGAGCAACTAAGATTATCAAAGTCCTGGAGACTAACATGCTGCTAGTCTAAAGAAAAGAAGAAATAGGGGTGACATGATAGTAGTATTCCAGTATTTGAGGGGCTGCCACAAAGAAGAGGGGGTCAAGTTATTCTCCAAAGCATCAGAGGACAGGACAAGAAACAATGGTTGGAAACTGATCAAAGAGAGAAGCAACCTGGAATTAAGGAGAAACTTCCTAACAGTGAGGACAATTAACCAGTGGAACAGCTTGCCTTCAGAAATTGTGGGCACTCCATCACTGGAGGTTTTTAAGAAGAGGCTGGACAGTCACTTGTCTGACATGGTATAGGTTCTCTTGCTTTAGCGAGGGATTGGACTAGAAGACCTCTAAGGTCCCTTCCAGCTTCTATTCTATTCTATTCTATTCTATTCTATTCTATTCCCTAACCAAAGAACCCCTAAGACCACACCCACCCACATAGACAAGCAAGACACCAGAATATAAACTGACAGCAAACAGCACTCCTTACTACCACTGATGATTTTACCTAAATAGGCTAATGAAACACCTGCAAGAAAACAAGCAAGCTCAAAGAGCACCAAGGACCCCTCATTTCAACCTTGAGCTACAAATATTCTCTTTCATTGGTAGAACCACAGCACAACATTATAGTAAATGTTGTGAGAAAGAACAGAAATGGGTTTTGTTGGGAAAATCTTCAGGTGGTTTTGGTGGGAAGAAGTTTTAGTATGTTTCCACATCTCTGGTGCAAATTAACATGTTTCCATAATTCACAGAATAGCAAATTCTTTTCACAGAAAGCAAATTATTAGCCAAATGATAAACCACATAAAAGTGAATTCACCATAAGAAAACCTGTAAATCACAACAGTGCTCTCAGAAACTGAAAATAATGCAGTCTGCATATGTTTTGACCTTTAAAGCAACTCTTAATTTTCCAATTAATTTAATTTAACTTACCTTTTTAAAGCCTGGGTGGAGACTTGGTGTTCTTCCAAATACTTTGAATTCCAATTCCCATTGGCCCCAGACAGGACAATTAGGGAGAGGGGGAGTGACGGGAATTGTAGAACTTAAAATAATCTCAATTCAATCAGAGGATGTCTTGATTACAGCTCAAGATACAAATTGAAATATTTTTTATTTCCTCCTAAAACTAATTATGAAGATGAAAGTTGAGTTAATTCATTCTCTTCTCCCACCCACATGTGTAATCTGGCAACAGTTCATAGCCATTAAACTAAACCTGAAATATTTGTCATGAATGCAGATATACTGTTATACTCCCCCTTCATGCATAATTTACAGTAGTCATTTCAACTGCCAATTTCGGTGCATTGTGGTGATTTTAAAGACTTAGTATTCACAGTGCAGAAAGAGCCTAAAGAACATATCCAGCATTTGACCCTGAGAGGATAGGAACAGAAAAATAAAGATAGAAAGGTTAAAGAATGTGCATTTATTTTAATTATTTATGCTGTTCTGGATGAGGTTATTACTCTGCAGTTATCCTACCTTTTTTCAATTTTACAGGGAGAGAACCCAGACATTGTAGCTTTTTTTTCATATCCTCCTCTCCCCAGTTATAATATGTGATGTACCTTTACATATTGCTTTTCTTTTCTTATCACAATCTATTAAATAGAAAAGACAAAACACAGTACAGTGCCTTTTGTTTTGGTTACATTACAATATGTCCTCATAAAAGATACTGCGTGCATAGCTACTTCATTTTCATCAATTAGTTAGTTGTTTACAATATTTAGACAGCATCAATCAAAAAGACTCTGGCTAGTGTGTGACAGGGAAAAACAACAATCTAGTAATCAACCCTATAAAACTACATTACACTCAGTCTACAATCACACTATTAGCCAATACACTGATTTTAGAGTGGTTATAATTCTGCAGAAACAGTTACCCTAACTTAATAATCTGAGCACCACATTCTATTCTACTTGAGTACCTGAGCCATCTTCAAAGGAAGTTCCCATAGTCCAGTCAGGGAATGATGTCTGGAGTCACTGAAAACTTGAATGAATGATATGCAGCAGTTACATAATTTAAAGCTCAGCAGCCTACACTGTTGGGGTTAGCAGAAATTCCTTGTATATAAAACCATTTCTTTTCTTAGTTGCTCTATCTCTTTGTTGCTGGGTTTGTTAAAAGATCAAAAAAGTTAATTTTACATGTATCAAGAAAACCAGGATGGAACTTAAACTTCAGGAATCTAGTACAGGTAATCCTCAACTTACAATAGTTCACATAAGTACCATTCGAAGTTACAAGGGCACTGAAAAAAGTGACTTATGACCATTTTTCACACTTATGACCATTGCTGCACCCTCATGCTCATGAGACTTACATTTGGATGCTTGACTATGATGATCTTGTGATCCCCTTTTGCAACCTTCTGGCAAGCAAAATCGATAGGAAAGCTAGATTCACCTAACAACAGTAAAACTAATTTAACAACTGCAGTGATTCACCTAACAAATGTGACAAGAAAAGTCATAAAATGGGGCAAAAGTCACTTAACAATTTTCTCATTTAGCAACATAAATTTTGGACTCAATTGTGGTCATAAGTCGAGGACTACTACCTGTATTTAAGAAAAGTTAGATTTTGGATTTCACAACCTTACTTGAACATGAAGGTTTTTTTTTCTTTAAATAGCATGTTATATTGTCACTTATATCTATTCTATTAGGAACCACCCTTTTTGGCATTTGCAGAGGGGACAAGAACAATCAGATTGATGTTGCATGTACACCCAAAATGATCAGAAAGTGTGGTAGGATGTCATAATTTTGTTTTCTGTGCATTCTGATGAAAGCACAAAGATATTGTAGCTGCTGCTGTGCCTCTACCCCTGACTTATTTTGAGTGCCTCAGAGTTTGATAGTGATGGCCCCACTGAATGCAAGTAGGAATTTTCTGGGCTAAAATACTGTAGATTCAAGATGCTGCTTTGCCAGAACTGCTCAGCACCCAAGCCTGCTTATTTAAGTAGAATTGGAATGGCTCCATCTGAATACAAATTGAATTTACCTTGTATTCTCTAATAAGTCATTCCAGCAAGAAAAATAATTCAGCTAATGTGTCTTGACAAATCATGGATGTCAGCATTTGTAATGAAACAGGCATAGAAAGACTTAGGAGTGAACCACTAAGTGCCATGAGAAACAAATTACAGCTTCCTTTGATTTTTTTTTAGTTCAAATATTGAAGATGTACTAATTTAACTTAGTACTTAATACAGCACTCAGAATACGTATTTTAACTTAGGCAGCGCTCACATTTGTTTACTTGCTGATGTGGTATATAAATTAAATTAAGCTGTAGCAAACTCTCAGATGCAATAAGAGATGGCAAAATATGACAAAAGTAAACTTGTGGAGAGGTAAGCAAAAAGGATGAAATTAAGGGAAAAAGTCACATTAAGAAGACTAGGCTTTTATGGTGGTGTGCATAAATAAACCCAGAGGCTGTTCATGCTGCTTATGAATAGCAAATCTGGGAATGTTTTGCTTTATTTGTCCTTTTAAAAAAATATAACCCATCTTTTACACTTGAAATACAAATCAGATTGCTCATGCTTTCAAAAGAGCATGGGAAGCTACCTTATTCCAAACCAACCTTCTTACTCTATTCTGACTGAATTGGTTCAGAGATAAGTAACATGTAATACTCTAAATGTTGCTAAACTTGAATACCACAGAGTAGTCAAGAATAAGTAGTTCCAGTCCAACAACAATGCAAGACCTACAAGCTTCCCTTCTAAGATTTTAACCAAAGTGAGAATTTCCTCCTATATTCAACTACCAGATTCTTTGAACTAAAATACGGACTGAACTTCTACATCTACATTAAAGCATGGAATGGATGTATATTAAAATGTTCTTTATGTCTTCTGCCACTTCCTGCTTTCTGAAAGTAGTGTGGAAGTGGTAGAGTCAAACTTGGCATTTTAAAATGGTAACACTTTAAAATGTCAAGTGTCAGTTCAGTTTTTCAGCACCTAGTGCTTCATCTGTAAGTCAAAAATTCATATTGTTAAAAAAAAAAGGTTTGAAAAAAGCCAATCTAACTTGAGTGCACACACTGTAGGCCTACACTTCATGATTCTGGAAGAAAGCTGAATTTCCTAAGTTAAGAAGGTTGGGGGTTTTAGTCAGTCACATGACTCAAGAGCTTTGCCCCCAAATTTCTTGCCAAGACTTCTTTGCATAGAGGATATAAAATAATTTAAAATGGAGTAAAATAACAAGATTGTATACTTGAATGTTTTACATATTTTAAAAGGTGATAAAGTGCTGAGATTCTGCATTTGAATGTTTTATATTATAGTATTTGCAGATAAAAGAGTAATTAATGCTGCATTTGAAGTTTTCTATTGTTCCTGGTTGCTATAACTTAGGAAAAATGTAAATGGAGGCATCACGTATAATTTTTTTTAAAAGACATTTATTTATTTCTAAATTTGTGATCTAGTGGACAAATACAGATGTAAAAGTATGCAATTATTTGTGATCTAGTGGACAAATACAGATGTAAAAGTATGCAATTATTTCTTATTAGAGTGCTCTTTTAGCCTTTAACCTTCCAGAACAGACATGGGTTTGACAAACTAACTTGTTTTTAACTGAATAATAAAAACATATTCACATGAAGTATTTTCTCAGCTTTCTCAGCTTTTATTCTTCAATTGCACGTAATTTACATGATTTAAATGGTTTTAAATTGCAGTTCAAGAAAGGTGGAAGAGGATGACTTTGATGATTTTACAACAAACCAAAAATGGGTAATGTCTCCAAAAACTCATGACACTGATGTGACACTGTTGTTAAACAAGTTGCTGAGAGAATATGACAAAAAGCTGCGGCCTGATATTGGAAGTAAGTGGTTTTTCTTTCCGATTTCTATGACAAAGACTGAATACTTACATATCTAATTGCAGATGGTTATTCTCATTATAATGATCAGTTATCATGATCTGAAGTGCATACATTGGTGGAATTTTGCTTCAGTCTGATTAGACCTAGTATGGTAGTATAAAGCACAAGGTTCAAATATCACAATAAGGTGATATACTGTACATTTAAAGATAAATTAAGTAATTCATTATATAACAGTATAATTATTTATTCATCTATATTTAGATTATGAATATTGTAAATTTTAATTTCAACTCTATCTCTAGAATACTCCAAAATTATGCTGTTATGACTGAAAGTATGTTAAAAAGATATCATGAAATGGGCTTTGAATTTAACATCATTTCCTGAATGTAAGATGAAAGAATGAGCATCTGGTAGTTCTCTGGAAGTCGACAGAATACATTTTCCATCATCCTGGATATTACTACAGCTGATGCTAATATTTGAAAGGCCAGAGGTGGCCCATAACTGGTAGACAAGAATAAAATGGATACTATGAGTATACTATTGATACAGATCATTTTTTAAAAATACTATTCATTAAATTAAACTGGTAGGAGTTAACAATTGTTGTGCAATTTACCCACAATATTTATTATCAGGATGTAAAAATGGGCATTAGTGTAAAGTCCCTTTAAAAATTGTTAGGCAAATTTGCAGAAGTTAAGAGATTTCTCTGCAAATATTAACCATGGGGGATAGAAAGGGCTACACCCACCTGGAGGACGGGAGTGGAGGAAGTCGTTGAAACACTTAAGGGGACCCCCTACACGGGAGTAGGCACCTTGCCTCTAGCACGGCAGGAGCAGCTGGGTCCGATGACGCGTAGCAGAAGCTCGGTTTTATTCGTTTTATATAGGACAATGACAACTATCGTGGCCAGTCTCCTCTTTTCATCTCTTCTCATCCACCTCAGGTTCCTGAATTAGAACTAGAACTAACCATCATGAGGACTTCCCCCCCCCCCTTTTCTCTGCTGTTGGACCTCCTATTCATGATCGGAACATATTCCAGGATGGAACTGCTGGCCCTGCGTGATTCCCCCCTCGCGCAGGCATGGCCCGGTACAATCTCAAGGGCCGGCCTCAATGAAGGGGTGTGGAACCCCGAGAGGTGGTATGCAGCAAAAAGGGAACTAAAAAAAGAAAAATTGAGAGTTTTCCTAGAGGGGTGTTTTGTTAAATTTTTAGGGGGTTCGGGGATGGCCAGGGGGGGCAAGGGGGATGCCTCTCTGAGGCCAAGGCCAGACCTGTCTGAGGGACGCGGCATCAGAACGGTGAGGGAGGAGGTTGGGGGGTCAAGGGAGG